AGAGACACAGAATCTGAAGCAGGCTGCAGGCTCTGAGCTGTCAGCACAGAGACGGATGCGGGCTGGAACCCACTAACGGTGAGATCAGAGACCATGACCTGAGCTGAAGTCTGACACTTAACGCACTGAGCCATCCAGGCACCCCTATTCAAAAATTCCTTAACAGGATTCCTATCAGGCATGGAAATTCAGTAACTCATTCTCCATCCTCATGGTAGTCCATTCTGGCTTCATATAGTTCGGACAAAACAAAATTAGGTCTCCCTGTTGTGTAGGAATCTGCCTTTGTGTTATTTCCATCTAGGATGATAGTGCTACCCTTAGAGCCACAGAGAAACACATGAACTCCATCTTCTACTTCACAGCTTTTTGGACTAGGAAGCTGTTATTTTGTTCTGCTGAGCATCCTGTGTCCAGTCAGGCATGCATCAAATAATGTAACTTCCAGTTGCCATAGTGGTTTCTCTTTTCTGAATATATTCTTACCTTAAAGTACTACTGCTTTTAGGAGTATGAGTTTATTCATTCTGCCTTGCTTATGTACATAACTGGGGATTTAGAGAAGTGTATAACAGGTACCCACCATCAAGGTAAGTAGGTGTAAGAGTCCACCACATGATGGCAAAGTCTTCATATGAAAGATTATTAAAAATCATAAAAAAATGTGTTACAAAAATATACTTTCTTGTTTAACAGTTGTTCTCTTAATGATTTTGGACTTTGTATCTGTCACCATTTCCATCATCTCACATACTTAGAATCCTTAATTATGTTCTTATAGCTAAAGCTGGTTATATTAATTTGTTCTTAATCCCCTTAATAAGGAAAGATGTTCCTTCACAGTGTTTTTATATAATATACTTAATGTAGAAATACATATTAAGTTTTTTTTTAATTTTTTTAACTTTTATTTACTTCTTGAGAGACAGAGCATGAGCGGGGGAGGGGCAGAGAGAGAGGGAGACACAGAATCCTAAATAGGCTCCAGGCTCTGAGCTGCCAGCACAGAGCCTGATACGGGGCTCGAATTCACCAACTGTGAGATCATGTCCTGAGCCGAGGTTGATGGTTAACTGACTGAGTCACCCAGGCACCCCCAAATTAAGTTTTATTAAATGTCTCTGGTTTAGACCTTTGTGTTGCAGCTGTAATTAGAGAATGTGGTCTTGTTACACTGTCACTGAAGAGCCAAACCCTGGATGCAGAAACAGATGTGCTATGTGCAGTCCTTTACAGCAATCACTACAGGATGGGCCACCACAAGCCCCATTTAGCCCTCAAACAGGTAAGGAGGAAGCCCTGTGTTTATGACTCAATGTGTTTACTTGGTGAAAATGAGATCATACTGCCACTTAATATTTTGTTATGTATGGAAACTTAGTAAATTACTTGTGACTTAATAGATCTTCAGTCCAAAGCTGCATGTGGGCTTTCATCCCCGCCCCCCACCCCGAAAGCATTTCAAAACGCAACTTCTTTAGAAAGGAACTATGTTTAATTCTTCCCCAGTCTTGTTTCTAGTGGGTAATTGTTATGAAAAGTTTTCTTCATTATATATAATCTATATTGAGAATGCTTTTGCCTAGTTCACAGATAACAGTGATTTAAGCAAGACAAAGTGCCGGATTAAAGAACAACTTCCTGAGCATAATCAAAATCCTAATATCATAAAAAGAACAAAGTCATGGTTTATATATTGTGGGACATATAATCTAATCAGTAATGTATTAGAGTAAATGGCTATATAACAAGTTATGGAAAGTGGCTTCCTATAATTTTTAGATTGGGCCCTCTACACTACAGGGCTGAGTCTCCTAAGCTGGGTTCTTTATAATCTCATTCATTCATTCACTTTATTAATTCTGCAGGTATTTTGTGTAGCCCCCCCCCCTTTTTTTTAGAGAGGGTGAGGAGGGCCAGAGAGAGAGTGGGAGAGAGAGATCTTAAACAGGCTTCATGCTCAGCACAGAGCCTGACACGGGGCTCCATCTCACCACCCTGACATCATGACATGAGCTGAAATCAAGAGTCTGACACTTAACTGACTGAGCCACCCAGGCGCCCTTTTTTGTAACTTTCTATATGCCAGGTACTGTGCTTGGTGCTCAGTATACAGGGTGAAGAACACAGACGTGTTCTCTAACCTTACAGATTCGTGCTTTCTGGTTAATTTTCTGCTCCCATTACTTAAGGCAAAAAAAGATGGGAGATTTCTTCTTCAAAGAAAGATCTGGGAGCATGGTCTTTTCCTAAGTTTTCTTCTCTGGGGCAACTTTTTATCTCATGAGTCTTTTACTCTAAAACCAAACTTGAGTATATTTCAACTTGAAAGTGTCAGATTGAACCTGCTTTTCCTTCTGGCTTTCCAAGCTGTGAATAATTATCCAGTCAGAAAAATCTGGTGTTCCATTTTTCCTGCTTCTTCCTCTTATGTAGCTCTCCCATAAGTCAGTTGGTTGGTCAAAAATTTTCTATGCTTCTATACCCTTATTCTAGTTCTGGCTGCATCTTTTTTTTTTAGACCATGTCAACTTTTAATTGTCTTGCTATCCTAATTGATCTTTCCTCAACTCCAGTCTTTCCTATACTCTGACATATTCTATATGCCAAAGCCGAGTTAATCATCATGAAGCACAGCTTTGATTTTTATTAATGGTTCTCTACTGGCTCCTGAGTAAAGATGAAACCTCTTAGCTTAGCTTGTAAGATCCTCCGTGATCTGGCCTTTTCAGTTTTCTGTAGCTCAGGCTTCTCTCTCACCTTCACATATTTTATATTCCAGACAACCTGAACTCTTCACAAGTCTCGTGCTCACCACATTTGTTCTCTCACCTGAACATTTGCTTATCTGGCTCTGTATATTTAGCATGCCCAGACCCTCCATCTCTGCCTGGTAAAAGCCTTGCCATCCTGTAAGTCCCATTTCAAGCTGTCCAGCAGTGATAAACTTCTTCCCAAAGAGTAACATGAGAGCATATTGTGGTAATCTCACTTTAAGTTGCATGTTTCGATTATTAGTGTGGTTGACCTCTTCTTTTTATGACTGTGGGCTATTTGGGCTTCCCCTTTGTGGTTCTCTTATGGTATTGAGTACAGTCTGCATGTGGCAGTCATTTGTGTATGGTTTATTTTTCCTGCCGTCCCTTAGAGTAGGGAACATGTTTCATGCTCCTGCAACTACCAGTTCCATTACTACTGCTGCCTTAGACCTGCTTAACATTTCCTTATTTACTCAGTACTGTCATCTACGTTATTTTTTCTCCCTTCGAAGAAAGCAGAGTAGTAGAATTACCCTATCTCTAATATTCCCATAAATGAAGCACAAAAA